TAGTGACAACAATAAAACCCATATGTTGGTTGTGAAACAGGCTAAATACTAAATAATACAAGGAAGCTGTTGGGAATGTGACCAGGACTAATCTTTTCAGTGCTGTAAAATAATTTTCTTTGTAATTTATGGTGTCTGTATCTTTGGTAATCTCTTCTAACAGGATGTATCAAGTAACAAGGGGTCAGGCTCAGGTGGTGTTTATTGAAACCACCTGTACTATAAACTGTTTCATACATTTGTTAGTAGTGGCAATTAGTTTTGTCTCTATTCTGAAACAACATATAGGACATATGTTGAAATATTATTTACGGGTTTGTATATTACTTGAAACCATAAGAAGTATACGTGATTATTAAAAAAATTAAAAATAGATAAAATTTGCATTTTATGGAGGATACAATGTTTTGGGAATTTCAAAATAATGTACTAAAACATTAAAAGTAATAAGTTCAAATCTGTAACAAATATAAATATTGTAATCATTTCTTATAAGTACGATTTCCTAATGTAATTTTCCAAGATATTAAAGATCATAATGCAAAAAAACTAAATTTATTAAAAGTAATAGGCTTTATGTTTCTTAAACTACCAACATTTGTCAAAGTATTTATGAATTTTCGAAAATATTCGTCCACTAGTTTTATTGTTGGAATGAAATATAGCAAGGCTTACATTGCCTACTAAAAAAGTTAGTAGCCGATAGTCATCGGGTTAATGTAGGAACCTTTTTTTTTTTAAGTGCAGTAGTATTATGGGATATTCAGTATCTCAAAGCTCTGTGTTAAGTTTGTGTGTTGTTGAACATTTAGAAACAATGAAAGATCTGTTAATTTATCAGTCACCTGATGTTTTATTCCAGATGACTGACTCTTGTTTTACATGTTTTTAAGCATGTTAATGACAATGTTGGAGCCTTAAGTGTTGTATGTATAATTATACAGTTAATGAAATGCTCTATAACCAAGAGAAACAAATCATTATAACTCGTATCATTTATTATGTAAATGCATACTTAGCCAAAGTAAAAACTAAAATATTTTTCAGTAACCTAAATTTAAAGTCAAACAACGTGAAAATTAGAATAACTATAATTTGCTTTGTAAAATAAAACTTTATAACTTTATCTTAAAAAAGTTTGAAAACCATAAGGGAGTAAATAAGAATGAAACCAGAAAATATATTCTGATATCATAGTATTATTGCCTTAACAACACTGTTTCACTTCACTGTGATAGCCACCCTAATGTTTTCTTTTTATGATGATGGTATGATATATGTCAACTTTTTAAAAATTAGTTATGTAACACTGTAACCAAACTTTTCTTGTTTTTTCTCACATGAAAGAAGGTTTCCACTACCATAATAATAGTATTATGGATTAATCAGTGATGACAGTATAGTCCTAAAGTAACCTAAATAAAAGTCAAATAAAGTTAGAATAATATAAATATATTCATTATTATAAAAGTTCTAATTATTATAGCTTTACTTCACAAAGTCTGAAACCCAATAGGGAATAAATAATAAGAAAACCCAGAGAATGATAAGATGAAATTAGTTTTATTGTGGTGACGACACTGTTTATATTCTCAATTGGAGGGTGTGGTGAAACAAGTGGATAATTTGCTTCTTGTTACTTAACTCCTATGGCTTTTGGATATATGCATTTGGGCTTTTTGTTAAGAGAATGCTTGAAGCATTAGGATGTTTCTCACATTGTATTATATAAAAAACTTTGGGTAATTTAAACTAATTGATCTTGATATATCTACATTTTAGAAACATGGTGATGTTATTTATGCATTTTATCAACAATTCTTGCATATATCACACAGAATTCTTTGTTAATACAACCTTTATATGGAATGAAATTGAACTGTGACAGAATGGATGAGCTGTCACTGAGCAAGGGTGTAAATGGGTTATAGATCAGATGTTTTGGTGAAGCAACGACAAGCAATGTTGGCGGTAGCTGGTAGGCTTACAGGCAACTTTTTTCTCAATTCCCCAATGCAGAAGCACCACAGCAAGCAGTTTGAGCACTGGGGCAATTGTGGCTGGTGCTGTTGGTTATTTTGTGCACTGCAGTGTTAACTGGATAAAACTTACCTTCAATGTTTTTAATGGTTGTTCTAGGCAGAAGCTGATTGCTTAGAGTAGGTTCTTTGAAGCTGCAATTTATTTTTAGATTTGATGAAAATGATATGTATTTATTATTAAAAACTTCAGGTTGTTCCAACTCACAAATCTTAATTCTGAATATACATTGTAATTTTTGAGGTCACTCTTCTGATGATGCCAGCCATGTCCAGATTCTTTTTGATCATCGATCAGTTTTCCATCCTCCTAGTACTTTACAGGTTCCTGGAAGTGGGGGACTGAATGCATTCTCTCTTCCAGGATCTGCTTCAAATTCTTCATCACAGTCTTCATTATCTAGGTATTGCTTTTTTTTTAATGAATGAATTTATAATATGTGAAGTACTAGTACACCTTCAAATGTGGTTATAATATTTTTTCTAATGGAAGACATGTAATTTTGATAGATATTCAATAAAACACTCCAAAAAACTAAATTGTAATATATGAAGATGTTTTGTATTAAAATCTTAACTTTATTATAAATATTTTGCAATTATTTCTGAAACATTTCATAAAAAATCAAGTTAACCCTGTGATTACAACCACACCCTTTAAATTCCTTTCTGTGCATGTCACAAAAAATATTACTGAGTTACATTCAAAATCTAGTTAAACCACTTTACTATCAATGTAATTTAATGAAATTAGCATCATCAAATATGTTATAATTCAAAGTTTTATATTATCAAAGATATTATTTCTTTATTTCGAAAGAAACCTCTGAAACAAACAATTAAAACTTCAGTTTTGTTGTCATATCACATGTATCAGTTAAACTATCTTACCTTTAGTTTCTTCTGTTTCTATTCAGCTTAGTATCAGTACCTTTACAACAGTCTACACGAGCTTCTATGTGTACAAAGTTAAATTCCAATCAAGAGTTTCACATTACAACTGTAAACATTCCAAGAAAAAGCTTAAATCATTCTCCACTCTGATAGAAGCCATGTCCACTTTCCAAGTTAGTCTATTGTTAAGCAATGGCATTTTTTAGACTTGAATGCCATGCTTATAACCAATAGCAAGAGCAGATTTCCCATTCATTATCTGTAATTTCAAATGATGTAACCATTAGTATGAATGTGTACAATCACTAATTACATTGTTGGAGATCATTGTTCTTAACACTTGGCTATTTTTTCTTGCCTTATGCATATTAGTTTGAAAGGCAGTTAAATTACATTTAGGTCTTACTTTTATATTTTAGCTAAATCTTTCAACATGGGCTCAGTTGAATTCACCGACCACGTGACCTTTTTGTACTCATTTAAAGTCTTTATAGTTTTGATACTACTAACTTTTAACATAGTATGTATATCTTCACAAAATATGGGAAACTTTCAGTAAATATTACAAGTCTTTCACATAAAAAAAATATTTTTTTAGTGAAGTAATTTTAATAAAGTAAAAAAGATTTGTTCGTAAATATATCGAGTATTTTGTTTACTAGTCTGCATGCAAAGTGATTTTCATGTTAAGATTAAAAATACTTCATTTCAAAAATCTCAAATTTCATTTGCATTATCTCTAAAACCTCCTAAATACATTTCAAATGTTTCTTTGCAGTAAAACATTTTAGTTTCTCTACCCTAACTATACAAGTTTGGTCAATTTGACGAACCTCTTAACTCTCCCAATACGGGGTTGGTCAATTTCACTGAGTCATGTGACCTTTTGTACTCATTTAAAGTTGATATAAATTTAATTTTTATAACTCTATATATATTGGGTATATCTTCACTAAATTTGGCAGTCTTTCAGTTAATATTACAAGTCTTTCACATACAAAAAGTCATATTTCTTAGTGAAGCATTTCTAATAAAATAAAATAAAATTTTGTCCATGAATATATTAAGTATTTGTTTTGAATAATCCGTGTGCAAAGTAATTTTCATGTAAAAATTAAAAATACTTTTCATCATCTCAAAACTCTCAAATATCCTTTGTGTAATCCGTAAAACCTCCTAAATGCATTTCAAACGTTTTTTTTTCACTAAATCCTTATAGTTTATATGTTATTTTCTCTAACCTATCTCAAGACAGGATTGGTCAATTCGTCTGACCTCGTAACCACAAAAAAAAAAATCGAAATATACCTAAATTAACCTTCTTTTCTTTCTAGAATGACATCAAATTGTAACCTGAAACTACGTTCCTTTATCCTAAGTTGCTCAAAGTTTGTAACATTATAAATGTATTTATAATTAAATTATATTGTTTTATTGCCCTTTGAACTGTGTCAAACTGCTATACTGGCCATTATAAGTTGTAAATCATGTTGGGGGAACATGCAGCTCATGTTACGCTATCAAATTACATTACCCAAGAGCTACTCGCATATGTGCCTAGTGAACCATTTTAATTATATTATTATTATTACTTATTTTCGAGGGGTGACGGATAAAATAGGGATGGAGATATGCTAAGACAAAATGTGTCGCACTAGTGGAAATTCAGGATTTTTTTATATATTTCCTTGTAGAATTAAGAACTTAAAACATGTATGGATTATTAGCTAAGATTTTATGCTATTCTAATTGGTATAACATAAACAAAAAGTAGTTTAATAAAATTTTGAATGTAAGACACTAAATCTTTGTATCATGCACAGTGAAGTGTATCCAGGCCAATAGAGTTAACCACCAAAAAAAATCGAAATAAATCTAAATTACCCTTTTTTCTTTCTAGAGTGACTTCAAATTGTAACATGGAAGTACATTTATTTATTCTATATGGCTTCAAACTGGTAACAGTATACATCTATTTATACTTAAATTTTGTTGTTTTATTGCCCTTTGAGCTATATCTAACTACTACCATTCATGCCATTATAAGCTGTAAATAACTTGGAGCATGTGCAGCTCACATTTTGCTATTGAATTATATATAACCATTGAGCTGCTCGTGTGCATGACTCGTGAAACACTTTTATTATAGTATTATTAGTAGTAGTTATTTTACCTAATCTAACCTAAACTATTTTTACATTTTAGTTACTTTTATGATAATAAATAAGGAATAAACATGAAAAACAAGAAATAAAGTACTTACCAGGGTCTTCTTTTTTTTTGCTGTTGACTGTCAATGACACTTAACCCTACTTTTTTTTGTTCTAATGGTAGTAATGCACTAAATAAGTTTTATTTAATTAAATAATGCACCAAAGAATATAGGATAATAACATGCAAAAAGCAGACAATTTCTCATAACTATCACAGTTTTTCTGGCTTTCTAACTATGTGACAAGAGCTGTTACAAGTTCATCCAAGTTAGTCGTTATCTTTTCTAGGGGAATGAAGTTTGTACTAACAAAGAAAATGACAATTCTCTATTCAAAAAACAATGTAGTATAATATGCC